GCTATTGTCATGTCGTACGAGCTAACAGCGCCACCGTTTGCTCAATCCCGAAGGTCCGCGGTCTCTATCGTGTTTACCACGAAGAGGCTACGCTCGCCGCGTCTGTGCTTGCACCCACGTCTCCGAAGCTGTCCCTCTTCCAGCTCCATCAGTATCTTGGGCATGCGTCCTATGGCTACCTGAAGAAGATGATCACCGGTGGCATGGTCCAAGGACTCACCTTAGATCCAGAGCGAATGGACGAAGAAGAGTGCGCCGTGTGTATGCGCGCGAAAGCAGTGAGGAAGCCAATCGCATCGCAACGCTCTTCTCCACGTGCCGAGAACTTCGGTGACGTTCTTCACATGGACGTCTAGGGTCCTGCACCAGTGCAGACAGTTAGCCACTGTCGCTACTCCCTTGTTCTTCTTGACAACGCTACACTCTGGCTCGAGGAGCCGCTCCTTCGCTCTAAGGATGAGGCATTTACAAGATACGTTGGCTATGAGGCGCGCCTGTACACCCAGCACGGAGTGACAATCAAGGTCGCGCACTCCGACCGTGGTGGCGAGTTTCTCAGCCAAGACTTTCTCGACCATCTTGCGCGTCAGGGCACAGTGCAAAAACTCACGGTGCATGATACACCGGAGCATAACGGCGCCGCGGAGCGAACTCACCGCACGATCCTGAATATGGTTCGCGCACTTCTGATCTCATCTGGGCTGCCTCGCACACTTTGGGGCGAGGCTATGCAGCATGCCGTTTGGCTGTACAACCGCACACCGCATGCCGGTATCGCTTATCGGATGCCGTACGAGCTGCGCTTTGGGAAGGCCGCCGACCTCTCGAGACAAACCGCAACAAAAGGATGATGACGAAGTCAATAACGATCCAGCCGATCGTTATGAACAATATCGAAGCCCAACTCCGGAACCATACAAACATCCGGAAGTACCATTCGCTCCCGGTCCACCTCCTGGACCACCTCCACCTCAGAGAGAACACTATCGTCCTCGTCAGAGTGGACAAGCCGGTTCATCTCGTCAGGCAGCACCACCTGCTCCTGATATTAGGCAACGATGGAATCTCGAACCACAACCTGTGCCACATCCGGCCAGACCACAGCGCAAGAATGCAGGCCAACGCCGTGTTCCTGATAATAGCTATGGTGATGTCCTGCCCACAGAAGCATGGCGTCAACAGGAACGAGACATCCAACGTGATCAACGAGAAGAACGAGAAGCACGTGAAGAACGTGAAGGTTCTCCAATGGAAGTCGACGATCAACTCCGTCGGAATTTATTCCAATGGATATGTCATGCTCACCAGCCTGACCCCACTACGTACCGCAAGGCAATGTCTCGCCCAGATGCGAAACAGTGGGAGATCGCAATGAAGGAGGAACTCAAGTCTCAGGAGGAGAATATTACATGGATTCTGGTCAACAGACCAAACAACCGGAGAATTGTAGAATGCAAATGGGTTTATGTGATCAAGCCCGACGGCCGCTATAAGGCACGTCTCATGGCCAAAGGATTCACACAGATAGAAGGGATAGACTTTCAGAAAACCTTCTCTCCCGTCGCACGCTATGAAGCTATATGCTTCTTACTTGCACATGCCGCTCTCGAAGATTGGGAAATCGAGGCAATGAATATCAAAACGGCCTTCCTGTATGGCGAGCTCAACGAGGAGATTTACATGGAAC